TGATCAATGGGTTAATAACTGTGACATTGTAGACACCTGTGTTATTCATACCTATCCACCACTTCATTGTTTAATAAGTCGGAACAGCATATCCTATCAAGATAGAAATTTCATGGCTAATCGATAGTCTTTGGATGAAGTGACAGAGTCTAAAATACTAGCCTCAATAATTATCGGACGCCTAACAAAGACTCGTCAACTGTAAACACGAGAAATCAAAGCCGATCTCAGACCTGGTCGTGGTTGCATCGATCACATATTCATTATTCGTCAAGTTCTACAACACAGGCATACTTATCAGCGTCCGACAATGGTGGTCTTTCTTGACTTGAAAGCAGCATTTGACTCTGTAGACCGAGAGGTTCAATGGTTTTTGAAAGGTGTACCTCAGAAGTAAATAAACCTTGTTGTTAATCTCTAACCGAACACCGATAGTCGAGTTAGAGCTTATGGCTAACTGTCATCTGATTTCGCAACCTCGAGTGATCTTCGTCAAGGCTATCCGCTATCTCCATTTTTGTTCACTTTTACCATAGACATACTACTGGAAATAACGTTCTTGTCGTCTGTATGTTCAGGAATTGATCTCCCACTAGGAGGTCCACTTATCGACTTAGAATATGCAGATGACATAGTCCTGTTTGGTGAAGACGCCGATAAAATGCAGAGTATTTTGGTAGCACTGAGCAACAATGCCAAAATGTTTGGGATGCGCTTCCCCCTCTAAATGCAAGTTATTACTTCAGGACTGGTCTGCGTCAACATCTGAACTAAGGATAGGGAGTGAAGTAGTCGAACGCATCGACACTTTCACTTGGAAGTCTGATTGTATTGTTCATATTGTATTGGTCATATGAGTACCTTCTACCTATTTTTTCGTTGTAGGGAGAAACTTGTGCTTCATCTGTTATTAAATAAGAAAGAAAGATTAGTTCAGCGAAGAGTTCTCTTTTCGGCGAATTCATTTTCAAAGCTGCACAATCGCAGATATATATACTCCTTTTTACAGTGTGATAATAATACCGATAATAAACTTCTGTTATACATGGTAACAGTGAGGTTAAATAAACAAAGGTATTAAAAACATTTTTTTAAAAACAAAGAAAGTTTAGTAATCGTTTGATAGTTAATGGTTTAAGTATTCATCTGTTATTGATGCAACTGTTGGGATATTCAGGAAAATATCTCAAAAATTATCCTATTAAGTCTAATACTATTCTTGGACTTGGACATGGTATGATTTTCTTATTGGTCAGTACTTATTTCACGTGTTATTTTCCTACTGGTCAATATTGTACAATGTTATTTTCTATTTTATGGTACGTTGTGGTCTGATTGACCGGTATATAAACAAAGTATGTTTGAAATATAATGATTCATACATCCGAGGCTGTGACTTGCGTTCTGGACTCAACTGCTGGGCTAGACAGGGAAGCGGGGCCAATCAGAATCCTAGGTCGTTCTACGTGTTTGCGCGTCTTTGGTCCGATCGATAATTCGCTCCCCTCTAATCTGCTGTGTCACAGTTATAGCAGCAACATCACTTCTTTTTCTATTTCTTAGTAAACTTGTTCTTAACACGTTTTGTATACTTCAGAATATTATCAGCGTTTAAAATTTTTCGTTTTATGTTTGTATCCCAATTAAATCTTTTTACACAAGATGATTAATTGGTTAGCTCTGACATAACATGACACTTAAATGGAATTTTATCAAATTCTCCACGTAGCATTTAATTTTGCACTTAGTAAGAATATCATATTTGTTTGCTTTTTAAGAGTTAGTTTCAAAATGACGTATTTTTATTGTTGGAATTTTAAAAGTGACATTTTAGTATAAAAAAAGTGTTCATAATCAATTAGAAGAATCCATTGATCACTTTGATTAGTTGATTTTCAGCCGCGTGTTGGGGAAATATTAGATCAATATTATTTCACTTTGTATTATCTTTGAATAACAGTAAGTTACCTGTTTTGATAAATTCAAAAATCCTATATATATATTTTTCCATAAAATTATTCAACATTTGTAAAATGATGAACTTTCATATGATCTCACATGAATTGACTAATTATGTAAGAGTTTATTAAAACTGATTATACTCAGATAATTAAACGAAATTAATCGGTACATTAAAGTATTCATCGCTCAAAGTAACTTCACAAGTGATAACAAATATACCAATATGCGAAAGAATCAATTTAACATATGTAGAATAAAATTAAACGTATGTTGTATGAACAAGTGAAGATTGTATTGTTTGATTTTTGTTGTTGAATATTTAATGACTTACACATTGTGGATACTGTCATCTTTTTACAGTTAATTACTTAATTTCATGTACACGCTGTTTTTTTCAGTTTTCTAACTAAAATAGTAATTGTTAAACTACAACTTTGTTATACCAGTAAATTTAATTAGTGAAACGGAACAAACCATTTGTTGTTTATTGTCAATAAATGGTTTTGTAATAGTTAATAAAGATAATGATAATAATTTATTTGAAACTCTCAAGTCCAACCTTGGCATTGATACGTATTAAATGAAGATAATTTGAGAATGACTAACTACACATAATGTATTGTCAGTGATTTTTTCTTTTTGCTTCTCTAGTTGGTTTTGTTTGTTTGTTTTCAAGTATGTATCATTTACCTTCCTCTTACTACTCATACTAAATAATATGTATTACAACGTGTTAATAAATGTGTTTACGATAAATTTAGTTGCAAACTATAGACAGTAAACTGATCTCACCTCCTACTAATTTCATATACTACTAAACTCTTTTGATGTATATTATTTTTGGGTGTTTCTCTCTCTCTCTCTCTCTCTTGGTATAGATTTTTAATTGAATTATCCAGGATAGCTTTAAGTTTTATTTAGTTAAACGTCAGTTGAGGGTTTGCAGACATTAAAATTGTTTAATGACATTCTTAAATGAAACAGTTTATTCTGAGTAAGTAACACTTCAGTAATAAGCATTTTACCATACAAACTATAAAGTTAATAATACTTCAGTGTAATCTGACATCATCTGTAATCTCAGGATGTTGATAAAACTTGCCAACGTTTATATTTTGAATATTAACCACAATAAATTACCGAATTAACACACCCAACAGAGTAGGGAGACACCTGAATGGTGAAAACATCTTCATTTCTTTACACAATCCATGTCAATAATTCAACTGACTGATATGATATACTCGCATGAAGTGCCTTTTCCTTCTTTCACACACATCAGTCATCATCCATTGCATATGAACATTTGCGACTTTCGAGTATGTGTAATACGCCTTCAAATGTTAGTTTGGTTAGTAATATACTTCAAAAATAACAGATTCTTGCATCGTATTCGGGGCCGTGTGATCAAGCCGCTTGTTGTAAGAACAGTTGTATTATCTAGTCTGGTTATTAGTTTATTTCTCCTATTTTACGTGTAGGACCAGTGACCTTTATATCTAATCTCTCAGTGGCCCTGAATAATCATCGAAGAATTTTAATGCTTGTTGGTCCACGGGTTTCCAATCAGATGTGTATAACCAAACGCATTAATTCACTATTGTACTCTGTACATTCACAACTCAGGACTCATAAAATAATTTATCTCAGGTAACCTGACCACACAACAACACAAATGAGAAATTACTATGTATGCACAATATTCAGTCATAATCGGTGCAAAGACGAAACAATACGTAAATAATTGATAAAGAAAAAAATTCTGAAACAGTAAGCGATATTACAACGGATTATTTGTCAAACAAATGCTAACAACTACGATAGTATTAGAATACAAGAAAAATAACTAATAGTTCTGGAAGCTCAGTCTTTCTCAAATTCTTTTTGACATGATAAAGTATACCGTAGAAGCATGTTTTAATAATGTTTTCTGGCTATTGAACATTATTCAAATGTGTTTCTTAACTGTTAACATTTTACCTATCCAATCCATATGATTTTCATGTCAAATGACTGAAGATATTTTTCCTATTCATACTGTTGAATAAAAAATCTGAAACACTATGCTTTATTGATAAGGCAACTCGTTTATCGAACAGTCCAAGTTTTAATTGATTTCATATAGAGTCGGAAAAATTCATTAAGGCAGGTATTGTGAATAAGTTTATATTATTCCTACAATTGACAACCGTTTTTATCATCTAAAATGTGTAAGTTGATGATCAGGCTTAAGTTAATTAATTACTGTAATATTTTGTTATTCTAAATTTAATTCAAAATATATTTATATCTTTGTTTTACTACACGAATTTTTCTAACTTTGTATTATTATTTTACCTTCTTACCGAAAAAGAGTGACTTTCGTTTCTTCTCATTTGTATTTACAAACAATTCCATTTTCTTTTCTTCATTTTGTACAACTTTTCATGTCTAAATGATTTACTTATGTATGCATGGGAAGAGTGCCCATCACACATCGACATCAACTGAGGAAATATTGAAAACCAGCGAGCACTAAAAACACTTACTTCGTCTTAGTTGTGGTCTCAATATTGACCACCTATGACCTTACCAGATATCGAACCCATAACCTATAAACCACTAACTTAAGATTACAAAGTTGCGAACCGGTTTTTCATATTTCTTAATTAATTCGCGTGGTCTTCATCTAGTGTAATCATTGATGACTGTTCCGTACTCGATATGATCATTTATTATCATTAGAACTTCAGTAATCCATGTCGAAGTTAGTTATTAGTGATCATTTGATTGTTATGTAAAAAAAATGGAATGTGGAGATCAGTTTAATGTGATATCAGTGTGTATGACGAAATCTTTCTTGATTACATTTCGCATCTCCCCTCAATTCACTCGACCAATCTCACTGATTTATTCCGCCTTCATTTTTTTATTAATGTAATTATTTCTTTGCTTTTCATTGTTGTGCTTAATATCTTTCCTACTATAATATTCCCGTTAGTTGTCATTTCTTCTCAATTCTTCCCTCATTTAATTTCATCTCGTTTATTGTTTTGCAGTTCGACAGGAAGTTTCGAGGATAGAACGGTCAACACCAAATGTAACTCAGACATTAGTAGCCAAATTTCAAGAATTAGAATCTGGAAACAATAAAACTAGTATACAAAATTCTCTACCACAGAATCAAGTGAATTTGCCTCATTTATTAAAATTATACATTCATGATTAAGCCGAATTATTTAATGACTCGTTTGTATTAATATGATCGTGCATTGAAAGATTTCTAAAATTGTAAATGCCAGTTATTGGATTCAAGCTCTTGTTATGATCTCTCTTATTACGACCCAGTTACTCTTATTGCTTAGTATTCGTTGGACACTGTTGCACTCGAAAATCCCCCAAATCAGAACATGGTTGAACAGGAACGTAATTATACTCTATATAAACAATGTTGAATGGAAGTAGGAATCAGAATAAGGAAAACGTTACTATATTTATAATTTTACACAAGAAGATTCTAGACTCTTTTCCAAGTATTTGCTAGCGCTGATTGGTTAGGAAATAGCCAACCAGTGTGCCCCGAAATTATCCTGCACGGAACGCGTATTAATCCAATCTGTATCCCGCTAACAAGTCTTATAATCCTGCGTTTGATCCCCCATAGGTTCGTGAATGGGCATTGCTAAGCAGTCCTAAACTATGCACCCTAATTTTCTGTAGAAGTGTACATAAAGTCACCTCCATATGATTCCTACTCCGGACTCCCTGAGTATGACTGCTTGTAAGTGGTTCTAAAAATACATTGAGTTTCCACTAAGATGTAATTATCAGAAATTTATCGTTTATTTGAACATCTTTTAACTGGATGCTACTAGTAATATAAAAAATGATTCTTTCTTATAAAATAAATTGAACGTAGTTCAAACGTTAGATTATGTTATACCTACTTACTAAACAGAATACATTATGTTCACATAATTACACAATCAATTAATGTTAGTTTTTAAAGAAAACTGTAAAATACTTTGCAGGCTCTTAATTTTATGATATGATTATCACCATACTATTTGTCACGTATGTTAAAGATGGGTGGGGGTGAGATAGGTGGTCAGGAGGAGTGTGTAAAACCAATATTGGAAATAGTTTCTTGACCTAACTGATGAATAAAGGTAAAGAGAATTCAGCGAAGAAAATTCTCTTTTCGACGAAATTCCTTACTTAAGATGTACATTAGTATTTATAGTTGTTTGATAAATATACGTCCATAGAAGGAAAGCAGGGGTCGCACCATTAAGTGATCCAAGATTTCAAATATCAATAGGAGATTGTGTTACGATCATTGGGTTCGAGACAAGCAGGGGAGGTGAAGACTAATTTACGGGTCAGAAATATCAGAGGTCATTATCGACTTGAACTAAATGAAGAAAAATGGAAAACGTAAAGGTCACAATAACAGTTCAATGGTAGTCATGAAAAATTGTTAAAGTATAATGATAATAATAATAATAATAATAGCTGATTACGGTTTAAATAATAAAAAAAAATAAAAAAACCCAAGACATTGGAGAGTGTAATTTGGGTCAAAGAAAAATGAGAAGTTAAACGTATCGTTTCTGAACTCGGCATTAGGTCATGACTAAGTGAATTGTCAACGCTTCATCAGTGAACGGTTTATAAAAGGGGAATGCAAAGCTATCACTATCCTAATACAGGAGCACCTGAACACGTTTCAGAGGAGTTGTCCTTTAAAGTAATCTATATGGTTAAAAGATTTTGATCAAAGCGAGATCCAACTAAAATACTTGCACACTGCTTAGGCGTTGACATTTCACCGACGCTAGATCGATACGTTTAACTTCTCATTCTTTTTTGACCCAAATTACACTCTCCAATATGTCTTGGTTTTTTTTATTCTTTTGTATTATTTAAACCGTAATCAGCTATTATTATTATTATTATTATTATTCTAACAATTTTTCATGACTACCATTGAACTGTTATTGTGACGTTTACGTATTTCTTTTTTCCCCATATCGTTCAATTCAACGTAAAAATATTATGCATGTATTCAACAGATTCATTTGTTATTCAATAAAGTTTATATTTAAGTTCATATTTAAGAGTGATAGCCCGGTGGATAAGGTGTTCAATTTTCAGCCACTAAATCTCAGATCTGAATCTACCCATTTGATTTTGGGTAACTAAGTAGCATCGGTAGACCTCAAACTTAGGACATGGATTGAATCCAAATGCATGAATTCGTACCTGATAAATGAATATATTCAAGAAGGAACAACTCTTCTCTCCTTCAGTAAATATATGTAAGTATATTCATATGTCATTTAAAGAAATTAGGTGGACAAAATCACACTTTTGTTAATGTGGAGAATATTGTATGAATCAGCGGGTTTTACTTTTTATCACTTATGATAATTTTTTAAAATTCTTTATCTTCTTGCTTTCTTTTTCAACACTCTTATTTGTGGTCACTTTCAAATGTATGTGGACCTGTGTTCATCGTGTAGCCACCACGTAGAATCTATTTTAACTCCACACATACAGGACCAACCAGTGCAAATGGTGAGGTTTTTCCATCGTCAGGAAGTGCTCGTCAATTAGTAGAACGTTGGAATAAAATGCCTCTGGAAAATCACCAGGTAAACTCGAATTTTTAACCAAAAAAAAGACCCATCCTGTCTTTATTCCTATTACCAATACTGTTTATTTATAGGTATTGAGTAATCCAAATCACCATAGTCTCTATTCTTTCAACTAAGATGAAGTATAATGGTCAATTTTGTTTGTATGTGTGTTATAGATTTTCCCTCAGGATGTTTTGCTTCTTTCGTTACCTGTTTCTTATTTTCATTTTAACAACAAATTCATATGAAAGTTTTAATCTCTGACGTCAACTTTTTGGTTTATTTCATCTATTTGTTGGTATTCAAAGTGCTAAGAGCCGTCGAAAATACATTGCCATCATACTTGAAACTGTTTATCATTGTGAGCTTTTAATTTTGTCAATGGGGTTTGTAGATATTATAGTAATTTAATAGTTGAGTTCATGAGCTGATTAAACCCAGACCATCATGGAAAACCTGAAAACAGTGGACGGCCGTTTCGTTCTAGTATGGGGCTCTTCAACAGTGCGATCCCACACACGGGGCTCAAACCCGGGACCTTCGATCTCGCGCGCGAACGCCTAACCTCTAGACCACTGAACCGGTAACCAATGGTGTTAATGTCCAACTTCAACCATTCCACAATGTTTCGCCACCGTTCACCATTGTCTTCAGTGAGTAACTGCGGGATCGTGGATGCGCACTGTTGAAGGGTTCCATACTAGAACGAAACGGCTGTCTAGTGCTTTCAGGTTTTCCATGGTGGTCTGGGTTTAATTTTATATCGAGATTAAATGTAGAATTTCCATATCTGACATTATTCCTCATTTCATGTGTATTGTAACGATTGAAGAGATTAGTGATAGAAATGATACCTTTGTAAAGTCCTAATAAGTAATAAATTACATTTCTGACGTTTTGCAATGTAATGTAAGCCAGTTGTTCAGAGAATCGAATTAACACAGGTTTAATTAGTACAAAGGACACTAAACAGAATTATTTTGGTACAATCAACATTAAAATCGGTTTGATCATGTTAATGTCATGTCATTTCGGTCAGGATGATTTTTATTGTGTGAGATATTGCTGTGTGTAATGCTGAACAGTAAGATTATGAATACTCATCTATTTGTCAGTGGTATGAGATGTTAATTTTATAAATATTTGGGGAAGTGATCCATGGTGGATGAATCTTTAGGTCTTTCTTGCTGTTCAGTGCGGTAGGGTTTAGCAAAATCTGAAAAGCTTCAGCTACTCGCCTTTCCTTATAATTGGGAAATTCTTTGGATATTATTAATATTGACTTGATGGTTGTTAAAAAAACAAAGTACTGATTGGTTTATCAACTTTCTAAACATACAAGATTAGTTTGAGGTTATTTGTTATAGCTTAGATGTTCTTTGAACCGAGTAATGATTTCGCGAGAAAACTCCTATATAGAATGCATTACAATCTATACATCCTGGTCAATAGACACAATCGTGTCGAAGTAATATAAATTTTATCTTCTGTTTTAACCATAGCATTTCTAAGGGTGTTCATTATTTAATAGGATGCTTGAATTCTGTGTCATCTAAAGATTCATTGCAGCTTTTCTGTTTTGTCATGACGATATGGTAGAACTACAGTGTAATAATCCATTTTAGTTTATTCAGTTTACTTAATAATTGACAGAATATTTCGTTTTGGTGTAGTTTTAATAATATTCATGAAAAAGTTCTCAAACCGTAAGATGTTAATTATATTTTTCTGTTCATTTTGTTTCTCTTCATCTGATGTCATGGTGTTTGACACTGGTCTAAGTTTGGAACCGAGAACATTTTTGTACTGAGTGGATGTGCCGATTTGAAGTCAATATTTCGATTTGAGTTTGTATGTGCTTATGGTAGATGAGTTGACTTAGACATCCATTTGAATTTCTTTTGACTAAACAGTCTAAAGTTAGTAGTTTACTGGGTTCATTTTGGAAAGCGAATTTTATATGAGCTGAAAAATTAGTTCTCACTTTATAAAAGTCCCTCAGGAGAGTAATTTCCGTGACGATGAAAGTGTCATCTTCATATCTGAGCTAAATGCATAATTCTGATAGCACGTGGAAAAATATGCGATTTTATACAGAACTGACGACAACCTGTGATACAGATGATTTTATGGAGCCTCTTTTATTTTTCTATACAAAGTCCCTTTGGACGTAAATAGGGTCAAATTCAGAATTGAAGGGCTCTCATTGTTTAGCTTATGATTAATGGAGATCTGCTAAGTAGATTAATATCATGATTTCCTAGTAAACGATTAATAAAATCTACGCATTTATCAATAAGAATACTAGTACATAACTATGCATCATAACTTACAGTCTTCATTTTTTTTTTGACAGACAGATACGAAATTTTCTATCTGAAATCATTATAATTTTTAATGATATTGTATTAGTTCCTGTGAAGTGATCTCAGTATACTGCTTAGATATTTAGATGGAGTATATGTTGGAGTGTTTGTGGAATCTACTAAGTCTTAGTGGTTTATCAGGTTTATGAACTTTTTGTAATCTATGAAAAATGTGATGTGGTGCATGATTTGGGATATAAAGTAAACCGTAAAGAGGTGCCTATGATTGACTTTAGTTCTTTAAGAAGTTTGCCTTTTTCTGATTTCACTTTATTTTAATCATTGAAAGGAATTATAATTTGCCTTGAATTATCCATCCATTTCTATGCTAGCACAGAACATTATGTAAATAACAATTGTATTTAAAAACTCACAGGACTTGGATCAATCACCTGACAATGATTTAGACTTGAAATGCATAAATTTGTAAGACTGGATAAAAGAACTGTTGTGAGCACTTTTTTGTGTATTCGGACTAATTAATAGCTGACAAGAAAAGTAGGAGTATAAGGATGGTAATAGAAAAATACCATTAGTCACTTTTAGATAATTCTCAAATGTTCGTGTCCATCCACTGGTCGGTTCGATTTATTATAAGGTGACAACATGAATTTAGTCAAGAAGTGATGAAGGGATCCGATCGTGAACAAGTGGAACCCTATTGCTGTTAAGAGTATAAAGACCGTTTTCTCTTCCCGGCTCCCTATACCTCCATCCACCAATGAAGGAAATTTCTTTTTGACGGACCAGAAAAATAAACTCAATCATGGTCTTAAAGATATAGAAGCGTGATCGGACAATTAAAGAGGTAACTGCTTGAGGCCGGCCGCACACAACCTTTTATGGGAAGTTTTCGATGTTAGCTCCGCACTTCAAGAGGCCTTGTATCTGGAGACTAAAATCCGTGGGGTAAGGTGAGATTCGACATTTTTAATATCGACCTTTTATAACCCCCTTCTTCCATCGTGAAAAGGCGGCATCGTTGCAGATGTTGAATGTCTGGAGGAAGCGAGTTACCACTTTCACACCTCATTGCGCTTAACAGTATGATTTTATCCTCGGACCATGGGCTTGCTGCTTTCAGCCTTACCGTTACTCAACCAGCCTGACATGATAGGATCTAAGGGAAAAATGGTTTCAGGCAATATAGCTGTGGTTGGTCCAGTTTATCATGTTTTATGGTAGGTAATTAAAAAGATTAGGTAAAAGTAGTTCAAACAATAGTATTACTAACCATACTAAAGGTTTAACGAATAATATCTCTTAAAACCAACATATGTTATGTATGGATAATGGATGTATCTGGCCACTGAAACCAATCTGGGGAGGGAGTTGTCACCCAAACCTTCCAGGTATAGGTTACTACTATTGCGTCAACCATAACCAGCAAATATACACCTTCCCACACGTCTAGACCGTTTGCTAATGTTTTTTTGGTTTAATCTTCCATAGCTTTCTTCCAAACTGTTCTTTTGTCAGCCAAAATTGTATTTGGAAATAATAAAGTAGCTGGGTGCATATAATAGTGCAGACCAAAGTAGTTTATTATAAAATATTTCATAAATGAATTGTCAGTTTAATAAAGAGTTTATTTATAGATAGGGTTGGGTAATGTGCAGTATTAGAAGAATACAATGTACCACCGGTAGATAAGTCACATCATATCACAAGTCGACTAAAATTCCTAATATCAGTAACCAATTATATTCTGTGATTTATAACTTGATGTGTCTACTCTTTGTCCTAGAAGTCCTTCACTTGATTGTGGTAACTAGATTTTTCTAAAAGCCAATAGAAATTGTTCAGGAAAATATTCCACTGAATACACTTAAGGACACATACAAGATGAAAACTTTGAAGCGCAACAGAAGGATAAAAAGCGGAATGGGCTAGGTAAGAAACACACTGAAGAAAATAAAACTAGTCATCAGGTTACAAGTAGACCCAAGAAATGAGTCGTGTTTTTTAATGATATTGTTGAGTTCAATAATATCTTTTTCCATAGTCACTATGAACTCATAAAACCCTAGGAAATATTTTATCCAGTAGGCACTGAATAGAGGCCACTCAAGAACATTTAAGAAATGAGCGATCACTTGTCACTTTTTGATTGAATAATTACCCATTCAGATACTGTGTTCAATGTGTTTCTAGAAGGTCCTGGAATGTCAAGGTCACATACAGTCATAAATATCCTTAGCTTTGTGTGCACAAACTGACCTCGGAATAAAGTTTTTACGTTTATCACTGTCCCTTTAGGAAGCGGCTAGGAATTAAGCAATAAGCGTTCCGGTAGCAGGTTTATCAGATATCCAGTCTTTGTCGACTGACGGTGAAAATCAGTCAAATTTTACTTCATAAGTCTTAGGATTCTTGATAACTAGGACTCTGAGTGGTTTTTTTGACGTGATGTCTGACTGTTCTTATCACTAGGTTCTACATTTCGTTAGCTTGATGCTTGTTATTCAAGATTTCATATAAAGCCCTCTTCCTTAACTTAAATGTTGAAAAATCAATATTGACTTTGTTTCATACTCGAAGATAGATAAATAGAAGTCTTCCTTAAATTTAGACTGTTGGTCGAGTTGCGCCTGAAGTAAATGGAAAACCTCATGTTTCAAACCAACGGAAATTCATTCCTGTGGAACGTAAGTTATACCATCTTCTTTGGTATGTATGTTTATATATTTCTACTACTTTTATTCTGTAACTATTGAATATACTTATTTACTTACGCCTGTTACTCCTCGTGAAGGAGCATAGGCCGCTCACTAGCATTCTCCATCCAACCCTGTCCTGGGCAATCCTTTCCAGCTCCTTCCAGTTGTTATTCATCCTTTTCATATCTGCTTCTGTTATCCGACGTAATGTATTCTTTGGCCTTCCTCTTTTCCGCTTCCTTTCAGGATTCTAAGTTAGGGCTTGCCTCGTGATGCAGTCTGATGATTTGTATGTCCTATCCATTTCCATCGTCTTTTCCTAATTTCTTCTTCAACTGGAAGCTGGTTTGTTCTCTCCCACAAAATGCTGTTGCTGATGGTATCCGGCCAATGTATGTTGAGTATCTTGCGAAGACAGCTATTTATAAATTCTTGTACCTTCTTGATGGTGGTTGTTGTAGTTCTCCAATTTTCAACTCCATACAGTAGAACTGCCTTGACATTGGTATTGAAGATTCTCACTTTGATATTGGTTGAAATTTGTTTTGAGTTCCATATGTTCTTCAACTGTAGGAATGCGACCCTTGTTTTGCCAATCCTTGCCTTTACGTCTGCATCAGATCCTTCTTATTCATAGTTGATGCTTCCCGGGTACGTGAAAGATTCCACATCTTCCAGAGTTTCGCCATCAAGAGTGATTGGATTTTTGTTCTCCGCTTTGAATTTGAGGACCTTGGTTTTCCGTTTGTGTATGCTGAGGCCTACTGATGCAGAGACTGCTGCTACACTGGCTGTCTTTGTATGCATCTGTTCGTGTGTATGCGATAGGAGGGCCAGGTCATCTGTGAAGTCCAAATCATCTAATTGATTCTGAGCTGTCCATTATATTCCGCGTTTTCCCTCAGATGTCGAGGTCTTCATAATCCAGTCGACCACTAGAAGAAAGAGGAAGGGAGAGGGTAGACAGCCTTGTCTGACTCCAGTCCTTACTTGGAATGCATCTGTCAGCTGTTCTCCATCCATGACCTTGCACTGTAGTCCGTCATATGAGTTCCGGATAATATTGAAAATCTTCTCAGGAACTCCGTAGTGTCGAAGAAGTTTCCACAACGTTCTCCTATTCACACTGTCAAATGCTTTTTCATAATCAATGACGTTGATGTATAGTGACGAGTTCCACTCAACTGATTGTTCGACCATGACCGTAGTGTTGCGATTTGGTCTGTGCACGATCGATCCTTACGGAATCCAGCTTGTTGATCTTGGAGTTGGGCGTCTACTGCATCTTTCATCCGGTTTAGCAACACTGTTGAAGACCTTCCCTGGTATTGACAGCAGTGTAATGCCTTTGTAGTTTTCACATTTGCTCAGATCTCCTTTCTTTGGAATCTTGACGAGGTTCCCTTCTTTCCAGTCCATCGGCACTTGTTCCTCCTCTCAAATCTTTTTGAATAGAAGGTGAAGCATGTTTGTAGTTACTTCGATTTCTGACTTCAGTACTTCAGCTGGTATGTTGTCGGGTCCCGCTGCTTTCCCGTTCTTGATTTGTCTGACGGTCATTCTGATTTCTTCCTTCGTTGGTGGGTTGACGTCTATGGAAAGATCCGCGTGTGCCGCTTCGATGTCCGTTGGATTCATTGGGGCCAGTCTATTCAAGAGTTCCTTGAAGTATTCTACCCATCTGTTCCGCTGTTGTTGAATTTCGGTGATTGGCTTGCCTTCTTTGTCTTTGACCGGTCTCTCTGGTTTACTGTATTTCCCTGATAGTTTCTTCGTTGTATCGTAAAGCTGTTTCATATTTCCTTCTCTAGCAGCTTTTTCCGACGTCGTTGCTAGTTCTTCCACGTATTTCTTCTTGTCGGCTCTAATGCACCTCTTCACTTGTTTGTTTGCTTCTATGTATTCAGCTTGTGCTTGGACTTTCTCTGCTCGTGTTCGGCTGTTGTTTATTGCTGCCTTCTTGTTCTTCCTTTCTTTGATCTTGTCCAGTGTTTCTGTAGAGATCCATTCCTTATGATGGTATTTCTTTAGACCCAGAACCTCTTGACACGTTGAAGTTAATGCTTCCTTGATGCCTTTCCAGTTGTCCTCCATACTAGTTTCTTCTTTCAGTAGATCTTGTAAGGCTTGGAACCTGTTGTTGAGAGCTATCTTGAATTCATTGAGTCTATCAGTATCTCGAAGGAAGGCTGTATTGAACCTTTGTAGTGCTGTTTGTCTACTTGTCCAGTTCTTTTTTAGCTTCAGTTTTAAATTGGCCACAACTAGGTGGTGATATGAAGCTACGTCAGCACCTCTCCTGGTTCTCACATCTTCGATTGTCCTTCGGAATTTTTTGTTGATGCAAATATGATCTATTTGGTTCTCTGTAGTGTGGTCCGGTGAGATCCATGTAGCCTTGTGCATACGCTTGTGTGGAAATATTGTGCCTCCTATGACCAATTTGTTGAATGCACATAGATTTGCAAATCTTTCTCCATTTTCGTTTCTTTCTCCCAGTCCATGTCGTCCCATAATATCTTCATATCCAATGTTGTCTATTCCGACTTTGGCATTTAGATCTCCCATCAGAATGGTGAGGTCGTTTCTTGGGCACTTCTCTATGATTGATTGCGGCCGCTCATAGAATTGGTCTCTAATGTCGTCGTTGCTATCATTGGTGAGTGCATAACATTGGATAACATTCATTAAGATCCCCTCCTTCTTTGTTTTGAATGATGCTTTGATGATTCTGGATCCGTGAGATTCCCATCCTACAAGTGCATATCGTGCTACTTTGAACAGCATTAGAGCGACTCCCTGAGTGTATGAAGCATTTTCCACTTCGTGACCGGAGTATAGCAGTATCTCTCTCGTAGCTAGCCTTTTCTGGCCAGCTTGGGTCCAATGGGTTTCGCTGATTCTCAGTACTGCTAAGTTGTATCTTCTCATTTCCGTTGCTATTTGACTGGTCTTCCCGGTCTCCCACGTTGTTCGGACGTTCCATGTACCTATAAAGATTGTTGCTTTGGTTGTTAGAAGGGGCATCGGCCTCGTGGTTTCCGAAGGAAATCGGCTTTCACCATTTAGCGTCATAATTCTTCTAAATGAAGACCTTCTAACTCCCAGGGCAGAGTTAAGATGGTTTGAATTGTTTTTTCTGGTAAGCGTTTTTTTATCGAGTTAGTTTTCTACGGGATGGGGACGCTAACCTCATGCCCAACCCTCCTCCTTTACCCGGGCTTGGGACCGGCAGTAACTCTTGAAGAGCTACAGGCAAAGTTTATTGAATATAATCGGAAGTGAAATATAATCTGTATATGCGAAACAAATAAACATAACTGAGATGACCATACCACATCTCGTTTGAAATGTGCCATAAATAATTGCAAACAATTTCCTAATTGTTACAAAAAGGTAAATGCTCAAGTCAACCGAAATGCATTCCTCTCATAATAGTACAACACATTAAAACATTTTAAACTTAACTACTTGTGAGTAGTTCATGAGTTTATGTGAAAAAGAGGTTTTGATGTCAAGTTTAGGGGTTTCAAAGGAATTTATTTACACGTTAAATGGAGAGCCAAGTTTATATATACATAACACCCTTAGGGAAATTAGGACCATCATTTGTTTGGGTCTAATCTTGTGTAAATTAAAACTATTTCTCAACCAACCATGTCCACTCATCATTTGTTTATTTCTCTGTTTGGTTCACTGTATGGAAACAATTTCTTAGTTCTAATCTTGATTATTCGCATAGAACTGAAATTTTTAATTGAGCAGTTGATGGTTATTTAACTTCTAGTTGACAAATTCACGAAATAAAGTTCATATTACCGAACTAGATAATCAGAGTATTATAAGTAATTTACGGTGTGCATCTGATAATCTACATCGATTCACATGTTTACATGCTGTTTCATTTTCGTCATACTATGTGCATACTATATTTAAAGCTATCGTTATCATGAATTAAGAAATTATATCCAAAACAGTTAAAATTATAAGTTTTCATATTTGCTTATTCTAGCCAAACCATTAACTAGAAAACCTGTCGAACAAAAACCAAAACAATTAGTCAGTGAATTAAAACAAAATTTCAGTCATAAACCTGAAGATGAAGCTTAGTAAGTTGAATTTTAGTTTAAGAATGAATGAAACTAATTTGTGATTTTTTTTCAAAAAAATCTTTGATTTGAGACATTTTATTTGATTGACAGCTTTGCGAAAATTGATTGAATTTAGTTCTCGTTATGAATTTTTTATATTGGATGATGAATTATTGTAAACCAAGAAGCTTCGGATAGTTGGTCTGCTGTAGTTCAGGATTTCTCGGTTGTACACAAGCACGTGGTGGTCGAACTCTGAACACTGAAATTTCACAAACACTAAACATTACCTTTAGTTCACTTCATGGTATAACGCAACACTATTCGACCAGTCCTATCAGGCAGTTCGTTGTTTAAATAACGTAGTATATTTATAGTGTGTGGGACCGTTTACATTTATTGTGCTCCATCTTTTTGTAAAACTATGGAGCTCCATTAATGCGTATCGTTTTGTGTACAGAAACTCACAAAATTTCAGACGAACGTTTATCATTGAGAAATTAGCTATGTGTTTGCCAAGTCATTCAAATAAATAGTCTCATATAATTTAACCAGCCCTCATACGTAAAAATGCCGCAGTCATTGTTTTGGTCAAATTATTCCGCTAGACAGACGTGTGTATAAAAATCATAGTAGCCACTACTTGATGATAAGACGTGATAACTGTGAACTTTGCAAGAATTTCCACTGTGTCGTTAGATAATGCCAAACACTTTCCGGCCTTCTGTAGTTTCAGTCCATGTCCATCATCGGCTTGGACACAAGGATAGAGTAACCATAAATCATAGAGGTTTTCCCATGTTAATGTTACGACGAATCGCTGTTAACGTTGTATAATATGGGAAGGTTATATGTGCTTGATTTGTGTTATAAGTTAAAAAATAATTTGTCATCATTCTCATCATGTAGTGATACTATTTAAATAGTTATAATGGAAATCTGTCGAGCTTAATTTAGAAAAGACTAACAAATCTGGAATTTTGTGAACCTTTATAGATAGTGATAGATAAATACATTTTGTACCAATTCTCGCCCATTAAATTATTGTGTAATTTTCTTTGTAATAGAATCCCGGTTTAAAATATCCTAAAACCAAAATTGTAATCAGTCTCTAAACTCTCTTCCATTGTTGATGTTAACAATATGAATTTTGGTGTAAACTATGTGGCAATTTGTATTCTCTGTTGAGTGATATCGTACGCTAGTGTTGATATATATATGTAATTTTTTCTAGGAAATTCAAGTTATTCAATATAACACCTGTCTTTCTTCCCACACTAAATCTTTTTGTGGTTTTTAAATAGTTATATCACTTTGCATTCAACTGATAGTTTAAAAATTTGAATCCGGTTCAATCTATTTCAGTTTGAGATCTTGGATATTATCATAGTAGCTGTTACACTAGTAGTCTGTCTCAGCCAAATACATCAACTTGTTACGTATTTTTGCTTGTCACATTTCAAAGTCATTATTGTAACCACAGGTTGTACAATATTACCCTAGTGAGTCATTGATATCGTTTACCGTTATTTTAGGTCAGAGGTTAAAATCGTACTGCTGAGTGTAGAGATTTGTGATAATAATAAGAAGTTTCCCCCAGACATCCAACATCTGCAACGATGCCGCCTTTTCACAATAGAAGAAGGGGGTTATAAAAGGTCGATTTTAAAAATGTCGAATCTCATCTCACCTCATTTTAGTTCTTCCTTTACATGAATAGCTTTTCTCGTATATTTTTATCACCACACACCAGCAATTATAGGTTTAAGAGAACACAGGTAAGTTATTTATTTCATGTATTTTTCTTGTTTTTCAAAAAAACTTTTCCTTCCCTTTAGCAGTTCCTCAGAGTCTACTGAAAGCGCGAAAATTGGTCAGTATCATAGCACAAATGGTAAAACAAGTGAATTTCCAACTCCGGGTATTACACGAAATCTAGTTGCTAAATTTTCTGCCCTTTCTGCTGCATCCTAACTTATGACATATTCTCAACACTTTTCTTACCAAAAATTGTAGCGTAATCAGATGAAGATGATGATGACTATTAAAACGATTTGGTCATAATCAATAGGAACACACTTTTTTTCAAATTACTGATCACTGATACTCTTTTATTACAACTTTTGTCGCTATTATCGTTATCCTTGTTACAGTCTATTTCTTCATACTGGTCCACTTTTTCATAACAACAGATTGTCGTATCTTAATCTATTATTTCGTTGTGGTTTATTCATTACGCTTACATTATTAAGTATTTATTTGATGTTGTTACTGCTTAGATCTATGTTTATGAATAAAATTTACTTATAAGGAAGAGGAATTATAAAGCACCACATGCTATGTTTCTGATATTCATTTTATTGTCTTATATATATATATATATATATATATATATATATATATATATATGAGAGAGAGAGAGAGAGAGAGTACCATTTTGATTTGTCATTGTTAGTGTCATTTATATTTCTTGTCAATCTATAAAACTTACTCTTTTCTAACACTTAATTTCCTTTTTGATATGATAGTATTTTTTTTACATAGCTTTTATCTCTGTCAACACAAATTTGGAAGTAGCCACAGTTCAGTTTATTTTAGTGGGTTTGTTTTAGTATTTGCCGTGTCCATTTTCACTTGTTTTACTTGCCGTACATAGTGTGTTTTGTTTTCACACATGATTCATTCGTCTTTTTTGTTTTATGATACTACCAATAATACGAATTTTCATCCTGTTTTTCGTTGTCATCTTCAATGCTTTCACTTTTCTTCTTGTCTATATCTCTTTGTTATTTCTTCTGATAATGTTTAAATACCGAACTGTTCCTGTTAACCATTCTGTTTTTCGAGTAAAGCTTAATTTAATTACAAATTAAAGGTTTTTACTTGTATTTCCCAGCTGGATCAATCGCAGCCTGTATAATTCAGTAATAAGTTTTAAATCTCATGAAAAGCCAGTTCCTTCAAGGTTACAGGCAATCTACCGAGTGTCAATTAGCACGAAAAGTGTTTCTAAAACTTCCAACACTTCATCCATATTTGCAGAATTACTGGCAAAAACATCTATACTTATTCTGGACTTTTGAGATCGGTACTCATAATAGGATTATATCTAAGGCTTACTACAACTTAATCATAAGTAGTATGCAGAAAAAAACTAACTGGTCTACGAATTTTCGCATTTAACTGCATGGATTGCCATGTTGCTACTTATTATTCAATTCTTGTGTTCGTTTTTTTAAACAATTAAAATGAACCTGAATCATAAACTGTACAATGTTAGTCAAGTTCACTTTCCAAAAGATTACTCGTTATATTTATTTAAGTTACTTACTTACTTACGCCTGTTACTCCCAATGGAGCATAGGCCGCCGACCAGCATTCTCCAACTCACTCTGTCCTGGGCCTCCTTTTCTAATTCCATCCAATTCTTGTTCATCTCTTTCATGTCTATTTCCGTTTCCCGGCGTAATGTGTTCTTTGGTCTTCCTCTTTTTCTTTGGCCTTGAGGATTCAATGTGAGGGCTTGTCTTGTGACGCAGTTGGATGCTTTCCTCAATGTGTGTCCTTTCCACTTCCAGCGCTTCTTCCTCCGCTGGGATCTGGTTTGTTCTCTCCCACAGTACGTTGTTGCTAATAGTGTCCGGCCAACGGATCTGAAGTATTTCGCGTAGACAACTGTCAATAAACACCTGTATCTTCTGGATGATGGCTTTCGTAGTTCTCCAGGTTTCCTCCCCATACAGCAGAACTGTTTTGACACTAGTATTGAAAATCCTGACCTTGGTGTTGGTTGACAGTTGCTTTAAGTTCCAGATGTTCGCTTGTGAATATGCTGCTCTTGCTTTGCCGATCCGCGACTTCACATCTGCATCAGATCCACCCTGTTGATCAATGATGCTGCCCAAATATGTAAAGGTTTTTGCATCTTCCAAATCTTCTCTGTCAATTGTGATTGGATTGGTGCATGCTGTGTTGTATCGGAGAACCTTGCTCTTCCCTTCGTGTATATTGAGACCTACTGCTGCTGAGGCTGCTGCTACACTGTTCGTCTTCTCCTGCATTTGTTGTCGCGTTTGGTATAGAAGGGCCAGATCGTCCAACTGCATCCTAGATGTCCATTGTATCCCGTGCTTCCCTTCAGATGTTGACGTCTTCATGATCCAGTCGATCACCAGGAGAAAGAGAAAGGGTGTGAGTAAGCAACCGTGCCTAACACCGGTCTTCACTTCGAACGACTTTGTCAACTGTCCTCCATGCACGATTTTGCAGTGTAATCCATCATATGAATTCTGTATGATATTGACTATCTTCTGAGGCACGCCGTAGTGTCGAAGAAGCACCCATTGTTTTGTTCTGTCCACGTTGTCAAATTCATTTTCGTAGTCAATGAAGTTGATGTAGAGTGATGAATTCCATTCAATTGATTGTTCCACAATGATCCGTAGAGTTGTGATTTGGTCTGTACACGATCTATCCTTACGGAATCCTGCCTGTTGGTCACGAAGTTGGGCGTCTACGCAGTCCTTCATCCTGTTTAACAATACTCTGTGGAAGACTTTTCCCGGTATTGAGAGAAGAGTGATGCCCCTGTAGTTATCACAGTTGCTGAGATCGCCTTCGGTATTTTGATCAGAAGTCCTTCTTTCCAGTCTTTTGGTACTTGTTCCTCATCTCAAATCTTATTAAAGAGAATGTGGAGTATCCCAGATGGAATTCCATCACTTTTGATACGAGAAGATCCGCTAATCTTAGCAGAGAATGATGCCGAAAAAGCTGAAGCTTTATCGGAATACTTTAGTAAAGTGTTTTCTATCGGTAATGAGGAACGACTAATGATTCGTCGCGACCGTGACGGCTCGCTGATGGATCCTGTAGTCATTGAGAAAGATACTGTTTTAAGGCTACTCCAGCATCTCAAACCTGATAAGTCCAGTGGTCCTGACGATATTCATCCTAGGATTATGAAAGCCATATCAGATGAAATTGCTGAACCATTAGCGATACTATTCGACATGTCTCTGAGACAGTCCAGACATCCTAGAGACTGGAAAGACGCCATAATAAGTCCGGTGTATAAGGCTGGGGGTAGGGATTTAGTTAGTAACTATAGACCCGTTAGCTTAACTAGTGCAGTTGTAAAACTGATGGAGAAAATCATTCGGATAGCTGTTATAAACTATGTTGAAGGGCGAAATCTTTTCACCAGGGCACAACATGGTTTTTGGAAAGGCCTATCTTGCTTGACAAATCTTCTCATTGCACGAGAAGATTGGGCTGCGGCAAAGGATCGGAATGCTCCTGTGGATGTGATTTTCATAAGGTTTCCCACTCTGGTCTTAAATTCAAACTGAAACGTTTTGGAATCCATTATACAGTCGTCGATTGGATAAGTAACTTTCTCCATGACAGGAGACAAATGGTAAGGGTTAATAGGGCTCTCTCCTCGTGGGTACCTGTAAAAAGTGGGGTTCCCCAAGGTACAATCCTGGGTCCTCTTCTCTTTTTACTTTATGTAAATGAATTGCCAACTGTAGCAAAATCATCCGTTCTACTCTTCGCTGATGACATAAAGATTTGGAGACCCATACATAGTATGTCGGATAGGATAGTATTACAGGACGATCTTAGCTCATTGGTGGCATGGTTAGATAGATGGTCACTAGAAGTAAATCCTAACAAGAGTGTAGTGATGCAGTTAAATAACTCTGATGAATCGTATCACTATACACTACGTGGATTCGTGCTACCCAAAGTAAGAAACTATAAAGATTTAAGAGTCATATTAAGCAATGATCTCAAAACCACTAGTCACTGTAAGGCTGCTGCTGCGAAAGGCTATAGGGTGTTATGGTCAATTCGTAGGTCTTTCCAGTATTTAGATGATGAAATGTTTAGATTACTATACCCGATTTATGTGCGACCACATTTAGAATACGGGATTCAAGCAGCGTGTCCTTGTTTCAAATATGAAGCAGATATGCTGGAAAGAGTCCAACGACGAGCTACTAAGATGGTACAAGGTCTATCTGGCCTATCTTATGAAGACAGACTGAGATACCTTAACTTATTTCCGTTATCTTACCGTAGAATAAGGGGTGATCTAATATTGGCCTATCGTATACTGAACGATGAACTTGGTATTAACATGTCTTATCTTTTGCTTTCGTCTAGAACCGATCATTTGAGAGGACATTCGAAGAAAGTTCAAAAACCGAGATCAAACAGTTTACGTCTGGAGTTCCGTTTCTCGCACAGAGTAGTGAATTACTGGAATTCTCTACCGGAACACGTAATATCAGCACCATCTGTTAATACATTCAAAACGAGATTGGACCTCCACAGTATTACAAAATGCAAGAATTAATATAGGTCGACAGACCTCTTATCCTTATTACTGAAGACTGATAAGAGCTTCTACACATATAAAAAACATTGTCGTAGTAATTGTCATCGAAAGGGCCATATAGAAAGCAGCTGCAGAAAGATAAATTATAAACGGTATTCCGCGAAATCCTGCTTCAAGAAATACAGGTCTGGCGCATTAACAAAAAGAGTATTGATATCACATAATCAAGCACGAAATTGCCGCCAAAGAAAGTACGTAATCTTAGGTATTAATAAACACGATACTCGCCTTCAGCTTGTTACAGCTTCTGATATTACCTTAATCAGCCCAGAAACCTGAAGGAACATTGGGAGACCCATAGTTCACCCGACCGCGCTTTTCGAACGGGAAGTTTAGTCTTAACGTGATTTGCATTTATCAAACTTTAGCTGTTTTTACGCAACAAAAGTACCATTTTTGACCAAAAGAATCTATCCTGAGCTAAGCGTTCGGTAGATTACTGTTTTTTAGTTTTACCCAATTTAATAGTTAACTGTGGTTTTGCCTCAGCTTTGGTTTTTTTTTCAGTTTTTCATGTAAAAATTAGTTCAGTCTATCTCGTCCGTTCTATCCATTTTTGTCCGTTTTCAGTGTGCTTTTTAGTGTACTTTTACGGTCTTAGGCTTTTGCTAGAATCTACAACACAGTTTACGTCAATACAGTCATGAAACATTCACGCAAACGACCTGGATGCCGTTTCGCTGTTACATCTGGCATGCAGTGCGACAACTGCAAAGGTTGGTTCCACGAGGCGTGCACAGATCTCACAGCAACCGCTTACAACAGACTCAGCAAGTGGAACCATAAGTGGGAATGTGTTACTTTCAACACGGATGCTGCAGTCTTGCTGAGTAATATCATTGTCCTACTGACAGGTCTTCAGAGCACGTTGTCGCTAAACTTGGGAAAAGACAGTCAAAAAATGGGTAGAAAAACAAGAGCGCATTGAAAACGAGAACAGGGATGTCGACAGGTCTACCAATGACGGAGCATGAAACAGCATTAATGATGACACGCTGAAACTCAGCACCATGATTACGACGAGGGTACTCGACTCCCTCAGCAAACTCGGGTCTCATAGCTCAAGGTCCTTGAACGCGACAGTGGTTCCCAAAAACTCTGTAGGTGATCGGACCCATGTCAAAAGAGCTAGAAAGGGCCAGGCGTCACAGTCTAAGTTGAACATCCCAACTGTTGAACGGAAGTCAACTAGTGATCTGGTCGCACAGTCTACCCCCAAGATTGTCCGTCCGGTCATCAAAGAACCAAGGATTCATAAACGTGCTTCGACCCCCAAACAACAAGGTGCTAAACCTGAACGCACCGGAAAACCTGGGACGACAATAACGGTTCGTGATGACTCTCTCATAGTCATGAACTTCAAAGACAATCCTGACCTTCCTCTCAGTTTGCAGGACAAAAATGATAGGATGCTCTGGGGAGAATTGAACAAGAAACTTGGACTTCTAAGAATAGAGCCTTTG